CGGCCTTATAGCAGCAGAGAAATGACCCCAAAAAAAAAAAAATCAGGCGGTGTTGAAAATGTGCTTAGGCGGTTATCCAAACCCGCTTGATAGACTAGAGTCACTGATAAAACAAGTTATTGGGCCTTTGATTATTAGCCTTGGGCCATAAATTATATGCCCGTTATTATCTTTAATATTTGTATAAAAAATTCCACGTGTAGAGAAGGGGAGCTATATCGAAGCATTTTCCCCGTAAAACGCGACAATCAAACAAACTCTCCCGTTTCCTCGATTCCGGCGACTCTCTCTCTCTCCACAGTGAACAATCTTCACCATCTTCTGGGAAATCGGAATAATTCGCCGTGAAATTTGAGAAGAATCGGTAATGCGAGAGGAACGTAGTCCGAGTCGTCGACGCGGAAGTGGAAGTGGAGGATTGAGGGCATTGATAGAGCCACGCTGCTTGTCACCGTTTGCTTTGAACGACGGTGGTTCGGTTTCTGGAAGGAGATCGTCATACCTGAAACTTCCTCCTCAGTGTCGTATCAAGCTTTCCGTCGTCAAGCTCGACGGTTCACTTTTCGGTACGTTTGGCCAATTTCGGGAAAACAAAAACAATCAAGTTTCTCTGTGTGATTTTTCTGTTTTGGTTACATGAATCGTCAGATTCTCAACAAACCTCAGTTTTTGATACCCAAGTCGTTCGTTAATAGCTCTTATGGTTCTTATTCTGCGTCCGGAATTGATTGTTGCGGTTTCAAATCACTGTTTAAAGCCTTACTAGACATCATTTTGGATTCGTTGAGAATATAATCTAGGCAATATTTGAAGTAGTGTTTCAATTACTGTGTCTATAACTCTGATTTGGCTCCTATGTTTGATAACAAGTGAAATGGTTTTCGAATGATTGAACAGATGTGGACATTGCAAAGGATTGCTCAGTGGCAGAGCTAAAACGAGCTGTGGAAGAGGTATTCTTCATATCTCCTCAGGAAGGTCACGGCAGGATTTCATGGTACATGATAATAGTCAGAGAGTTTTAACATCTTTTGTGGGGTTTATCCGAGCTATCTGAACATTGTCGTTGGCTTTGATCTTTGCACACAGGTCTCACGTATGGGGTCATTTCTGCTTGTGCTATCGAGACCAGAAATTAGTCAATGACAAAACAAGCATCCGTAATCTCGGTCTCAATGATGGGGATCAAGTTCGTAAAATTTCATCTCACTCCTGTATCTTATGCACACATTCATTTGCTTTGAAGTCTCTAACATCCCTTTCACTCTATTTCAGTTACATTTTGTAAGGCATTTGTCTATAGACCACTCTCCTATGAACAAAAGATCCAAGAGCCAGAGTTGCAAGCGTTACCTCGAGTAAGTACTTGTAACAATCCACCTATATCGTTGTTTCGATGAGTGAGCAGTCAGTACTAAAGAAGCCTCTTATGTTAGGTTGGAAGTAGAATCCAATGCC